GCTGAGGTAATCTGGGTTTGCTGTGATGCTGAACTTTGTACCATTAGGGTTTCAAATGCCGTAATGGCTGCCCATGATGGATAGTGTGTTTGGTGGAGCTCCCAGTTTTAAGACAGGTTGAGAAGCAGGAGTGGCATCCAATTCCTTAACCACATGCCTCTGGAAACTCTATGAACTTGGAGAAATGATAGTCATAGAAAGACCTCATGTCTTTTGTTCATGGAGTTGCTATGAGTTGTGCACGACTCAACAGCAATTAACAACAACAATATATGTGTGTAGAATGTTTATCTGTTTATGCATATTCATATAGCACATGTTCTTAGACATTTTAATAAAAGTATGTATTTATTTATTTATTTACTTGCTTGCTTGCTTGCTTGCCAGTTATTCACGTAGGACCTGGGCCTTTCTTGCCTGTTGCGTATGGACCACATATATGATAAGTATATTTTAGTTGTCTTATTTTCTAGATTCTTAAAACTGGACTAATAGGCAGTGTCATGATGGATTGAGAGGAGGTTGAAACTGTCAAAATGTTCATCTTGCTTGGATCCACAGTTAACACCCTTGGTACCAGCAGTCAAGAAAATAGGAGATTCAATGCACTGGGAAAATTTGCAGTTAGGAACCTTTCCAAATCATTGAGGAGGAGTGATGTCAGTTTGAGGACTAAGTCACATCTGATTCAGGCCATGGCCTTTCCAATCACTTGCTATTCATCTGAGAGCTGAACAATGAATAAGGATGACAGGAAAAGAATTGATGTCTTTGAGCTTTGGTGGTGAAGAAGAGCACTGAACATCCCATGGATGGCCAAGAAAACAAACAGTTATGTCTTGGAGGAGTGTAGCTAGAGTGCACTTTGGAGGCAAGAATGATGAGGCTTCGTGTCACATACTTCGGGCATGTTGCTAGAAGGTGCTATTCCGCGGAGAAGGACAAGGTGCTGGGAAGGGTGGAGAGTCAGCGAAGGAGAGGAAGACCCTCAACCAGTCGGATTAACACGATGACTGCCACAGTGAGCTCTTGTGTGTCAGGAAGTGTGAAGATGATGTAAAATGTAACAGGGTTCAGATCTTTTGTTCATAGGGTTGCTATGAGTTGTACTCAACTTGATGACACCTAACAACAGTTGTATAATTCACATCCATCACATGGGAGAACCACATGGCAGAATTCTTCTCTAATTTTTGTGTGATTTTCTCCCACATCTGTCAGAAATGTTTTGACCAGTTAGTAGCTTACACACAGAAATGCATGTGATCAAAGTATATAATCATAATAAAAGGCCCTACTGCCATCATCAGTTTAGTAATGAACTTCACTAGCTCAGTAGTGAATGGCCAGTCTGGTGGGAGAAATCCAGTGTACAACCTGCACCTGCCCCAGACCTCAGGGCAGCTTTCTTGAGAGCATAGAGCGTTCGTTCTTTATCTAGCAAACTGGTATAGTGGAGAATAGTTAAAATAGTTTCTGCCTTTTTTTTAACTGTTGTGTTTGTTACTCTGTGTGTTTGGGAAAAGCATGCGTGAGCTATGGGCATTTGTTTGGAAGCTAAGCAGCAAGATCTTGATGTAACCAGATCTTTTAGTTACAAAAACAAAATTACCAGAAGGTAAAACATCTGTCATGCTGTCTGTTGCTCTAATTTATATTGATTTGAACAGGCTGCCCTGATAGAGCAACTGTATTCCTTCAGTGTGACACAGGAGATGAGATTGCATTTTATTAAAGCGGTATCCAAATCTGAACAGTAAAATCAGCAACTAGATTGTGCGGTCTAACAGTGTAGTTTGGTTTACTTTGACTATTTCCTAATTAAATGCAAATCAAGTTGTTGAAATTTAAACGAGGCCATTTTATACCTATTATTAACTCTGGAAAAAGGATTAATTGGTTTGGGAGATTAAGAACTACTGGGTTAAAGTAGGTAATAAGATGCCTGGGTTTTAATTACCTTTCCCCTCCTCCATACCACAGATTAGTTTTGCAAGTTTGATTAAGCATTTTAAAATCGTCGTTATGAGACACGTGCTGTGAATCTCACATATTAGCACACAGGTCCCTTAAATTTACATTTAGAGTCTCAGAGTCGAGATTTTCATATATAGTGTCTCGTTTGGGTTAAGTATTCCACCAGTCTCATGTCATCCCACAACTCATCAGGTCTTCTTCAGTCATTTGTGTCCAGTACCTCAAATCTAATCTTGAGATGGGTGTTAAGTCCAGTGGGGATAGACTCCGGGTCATACTTTTTGGTTCTTCTGGACTTTTTATTTTCTTTAGCTTCAATTTCAACTTGCGCAGAAATAAGTTGGTTTATTCCGTAGTCAGCCCCGGCCTTGTTTTGACTGCTGATCACGGGTTTCCCCATGGGCTTTTCCAAAGAGGTAGTCAGATTCCTGTATAATCTTATTCGGTGAGGTTCATGTAGATAGTTGCTGTTTGTTTTTTTAAAGGATATTTGAAGTGA